AGCCCAGTTCAGACCCAATAGGGACCCAGGTAAATATTCTTGACAGCACCCTAGTGGGCCACAGATGAGCCTCATGTAAGTTAACCATGTGGGACCCACTGAAAACCCAGTTAGCACCCATAAAAATTTACTTGGGCAAACCCATGTGGGGCCACCATGGAAACCGTGGACAAACCCACTTGTTACCCATATTCTAGCCCAGTTCAGACCCAATAGGGACCCAGGTAAATATTCTTGACAGCACCCTAGTGGGCCACAGATGGGCCTCATGTGAGTTAACCACATGGGCCCCACTGAAAACCCAGTTAGCACCCATAAAAATTTACTTGGGCAAACCCATGTGGGGCCACCATGGAAACCGTGGACAAACCCTTTTGGGACCCATATTGCCTGCCCACTTATATCCCATATGGGGCCCACCTAGGTGTGCTGGCTGGGTTGGTCTTTGTTTTTCTCATACAAGTGAGCAATTTTGGGGGGGGGTTTCCAGCAGAGGTGATTTTAATCTTAAATAATCTTTAGTTACAGTGATTTAAAATCATACTATGTATGTGAGAGAAAAGTTAAAAAAAAAAAAAAACGCCTGGACACATTTCACGTTGCCTTTGGCATGCTACAAAACCCCTGAATCTCAGTACATGTGTTCCTCCAGCAGAGGGAGATGTTTGCCCACAGTGCCTCCCTCTGTGATGCCCCACAGTGATTTCTGCTGTCAGTATGTTTATTATGAGGCGATTATTGTCCCCAAAAATAGAAAGTGTGCTGATTAGTCCTGCAGTGACGACTTAACCAGCAGGGGGCAGTTGAGCCATTTCTTGCCACTTCAGGTTATTTGATATCTTAATCAAATCCAGTCACACAGTTATCTGACAACCAATTACCACATGGCTAATGCTTTGTCAGGATCCCACATGAGAGCGTGACACGCAGTCACATCCTCCCAGAGGAGCGAGGCTTCGCAGAAAGCAGCAGGGGGCTCCGGGGGGCCCTGCAGACGGAGCAGAAGCTCTCTGTGGAGTCGGGCTGTTATTTCCACACCGCATCTCACAGGGACGCTGGATTTGGGACGGCAGAGGGGGGGGCAGCGTCCCAGCAAAATATGCAGGCAGACTAATGACAGCAGCTGAGACAACTAGAGGACAGAGCCAGACTCATTATGAGGCCTGGACCTTTTTCCAGATTTAAATCTCAGTGGAAGTTTCCGTCTGATAGAGCAGTAGAGAGCAGCGCCTAATTGTAGAGCGGGAAAGGAAATTATATAGGGAAAAATCTGAAAAGTGCGGTGTGTGTTTGCTTTCAGCCCCCTCTACTCCGATGGGGAAAAAAATACGATTTTCTCTAATTCTTCGAAGCTGAAAGGCCTCTAATCTTTTTCTCCCTGCACCGATTCACCAGCAGGTTCAATTCAGAACTTTGACTACACCGCTACAAACCGTAAATGTACACATATATAAAAAAACGAAATAATTTTAATCCTAAATTTACAAGGAGTTTGAACATAAGTACTCTTAAAATCTTAACTTGATATCATTTCCGCTCAACACTTTTGTGCTACTTTTTGCTGGCGTGTCAAGTTGGCTATCAACATCTCAGTAAAACACTAAATTTGGAAGTAATTTTGTGTCGCATTTCATACCTGCTGATGTAACGGATGACATGTTAATGAACTGTAGTTTCCGTTAATAAAACCATCTTTCCTTTGATGATCGGGCACCAAAACCAACTCCAACCCAGGGACCCACAGCCTTGTGAATCCGGCCCTGTCTCCAACATTTTGTTTGTTTTTTTTCTAAAACTGACCGCAGCTCTCTCTTTCTCTCTCTCTCTTACACGTCTCCTTTTTAGACAACTTTCCCTCCTTGAGCCGGACATCTCTGATAATGATCTGGCTGCGCAGCATGCCTCTCTGGTCCCAAGGGGCCCGACTCAGTATGCTCATACATGGCTGTGTTCCCAACAAACCAGTTCTGCTGGCAGCACACCAGGCTCAGAGTACCAGTGTCCAAACCACCTGGGGGCGAGAGGTGGGGACAGGAAGCGACTGTCGCTGGGTCGTTGTGCTGTGAGGACGGCCTCTCTGCCTGCTGTGCTGCGAGGCCGTCGCCAAGGAACTGAATGAACTTGCTATGAACTTTTAGCACGTCCTCGCCAGAGACGGGGAAAGTGGTCCTGTGAGCCACGGCTCGTGTCGGCCGATCGCTTTTGGTGTCAAAGACGAAGAATCGACTAATGCAAATGGAGAGTTGTCGTTGGAGCTTTGTGTCTTTTCGACAGTTTCATTCCAAGAGCAATCGGCTGAAAGTAACGAGGTCCAGACTCGCTCCCTAAGTGGTGAATCTCTTCACTAAGCAGAAGCAGAAGTACAAATTAAGTGCGAATAAAGGGTGTTGGCTGTTCTGTAAGCAGCAGATTCATCTAAAAGACGATTCGATCGTAAATCATTGATACGACTCGTCTGCCTTAACTCAGAATCAGTTCACTCATTTACCGACAGCGAGTTAAAAAGTGAATTTTGTGAAATTTCACTCAAAGTGGTGATCAGAAACCAACACTTAAACTGGAAGTCTGGAAAAAAAAATCAAAACAAAAAAATAAACAACATCCAGGAAACAGTTGGAAACGTTCCAGGTGGATGATACCAGGAAAAGTGGCGCATGCTCTTCGGAACAGCCGCTTAATTAACATGCAATTAAAGTGTTTTCTGAGTCGGGGAGTGGGAGCATCTCCGAGCTTTTATTTTCTTATTTAGAGGATGATTCACGACAACGAGGGCCCAGCGGGGCCCGCTCTGACATCGAGTGCAGGTCTGACAGAGGAGGGTGGGTGTCATTTGTTTTGTCGGTGATCCACTGGCTGCTGTCACACGACTCAGACACGCTTGGTGAAGCGGCGACACACGCAGCAAGACGACAAGCACGAGTACGGGGTGTCGGATGTTTATGTTTTTAGTTCTTCACAGCAGTTCATGTCTGTTGCACACGTCCATGCACCCGTGCGTTGTCTACACCAGAGGTTTGCAGCCCAAAGAGCCGATTTTGCTCTCGATGCAGCCGGTAAAGTGGTTCACGGGCTCAAATGTCACATTAGCTTTCGAAAAAAGACAACTTACACTTTTTTTTTTTTTATAGAGGACATTTGTTGTCACTTTCAAAGATCTGAAATGTTACTTCCATCTTTACCTTTTACATAGAGAAACAGAAAATGTTTGAACAGGTAAGGGTACATTTTCTTTGATGGGATGTTGATGTTTGTGTAAAATACTTTCTAATCTCTTCACAAGACAAGAAAACAATGTAAAAATACATTGCTGGTATTTTTTGGTGCTTTTCTGTCCTGAAAATTCAATAAAAATCTCTCAAAATGTAAAATCTAAAAGACATTTAAATACCATCCCAGACTCCACAGGCCTTAGTTGGCAGGTAACAGGTCAAAGTTCAAAACGCGACATTTGTTGTTTTTAAGATGAAAGGCTTTTCTTTTTAAAGCAGTTTGAAACAAAAGTGGCTACATTGTTTAAGCATCAGCTGAAACCACATTCATGATGCACTGCGCTGTGAAAACAAGAGAAAGGAAACCTCATCTGAACCGTCAGCTGATCCGTAGATCAAAGTAATCGAGAGAAAAGATATGAGGCCATCTGGCTGGGGCTCGGTTGAAACCGGGTCGTCGAAAAGGACAAAGCTCTTACAAAAGCTCTTGTTAAGTCATGTGTCAAAACTATTTACAGTAAGTTGCAGAACCCTCGAACATTTTGATAATTTTTGTCCTGCAGAGTAACCACATATCACACATTGGTAGGTTTGCATTTGTACATTTTGCAGTTCTTTGACAAAACAATTTATAAAGTAGGTGCTAAAAAATAGTACTAGCTTGAGACAAATCTAACCCTAACTTCATTTTGGTCAGAAGGGCCGACGACACCTATATGGTCGACTGTGGGCTACAATCCAGTAGCTTGTCATCGTCAGCGTGTGAATGTGTGCATGAATGGAAATGATGGATTTCATGTAAAGCATCTGAAGCGCGATGTAAAAATCTGATGACATTTCATTTAATCAAAAATAAGCACAAAAATGTTTCCTTTAATTGTTATGGCTTCTGGCATCTAATTTAGGGGTTAGGGTTAGGGTTAGGGTAAGGGTTAGGGTTAGTGAGGAGGCCAGAGGACTTAAATATATATATATACGGTGTGAAATTTACATCATAGCATCCTCTTTCACCAAACAGTATGTCATACTAATTGTGTACAATTACGTGCTGCTTTATCGCACAAAATGCAGTGATTACTGTTGGGAAAAACAAAACTAGGAGTTCAAGGCACTATAGGAAAAAAAATGTTAGAAATGACAGTAAACGTATTGAATGAGTTGTTGAGAACCTAAACACCTTGATTAGTGAGCCCAATCAGCCGCGTCTCGTCCAGCGGGCTCAGTAATGAGGCGTCGATTCTCCTGGTTCCGCAGAACTCATCAGAACCTCGTTGAGATCCTGGCTTTCGGGAAATACCGTCGGGAGCTGGCCACTGGGGGGCGCTGGTTGGCCCTGAAGCCCCGCATCGTCCGGTGTTTAATGGAGGCGCCATGTGAACGACTGGACTTCGTGGCACGTGCGGTATTCAAGCTTGTTATGAAATTCAGCGCACGCGCTTGGTTCGGATGGAGAGCGAGCCGGACGCGAGTCCTTGGCGCTGCTCTTCGGGTGATTCCGCTGAGCGAAATGGGCGGATTTTAGGACCCACGGGTGGATTCCTGCTCGGATGATAAAACTTGTTGGAATCCGTTCGCTTGCCGACGCGCGACCGAAGCGGCCGGACTCAAATCAGAAATTGCCCACTGACCACCCTCTCCCCCCGCTCCGCCCCGCCGGTGCCGTTCCGAACCTCTCCGCTGCGGCGGCGCAGCGGCCAGACGAGCCGCGCGCAGCGATCCCTCCGCCCGATTCACGAAAACAGACGCAGGGGAAGGAGGAGGGGGGAGGAGGAGGAGGGGGGCGCGTGGGCTGCCGTGTCCGCGTTTTCCGGAAGAGAGGGTGTGAAAGCATGGGACGCAGCTCCTGACGGGAGCCGATCCTGCCGCGCAACCTAGAGCTCCGAAAGCCCGTCGGATCGTCCGCCGGTCGGCTGCGAGGAGAGGCGCGGAGCGGAGCGGAGCATCCTAACGGGACATCCCTCCGGATCCCCTCCGGCGGAGAGCTTCCAGGATCCCGTTTGGAGGGGGGTGAGTGAAACTTTTTTTTTTAATTCCCGGTGCATTCGCGTTCTGCACCTTGCACACATTTCTGGAGGGGGTAACGAATGTGATGTGGTTGGCTCTCACTCACCGCACACAGCGGGAAGAGGCGGGATGCTCCGCAGTTTGTACCCGCTTTCTGCGCAGAGGAGCCCCGCAGGCTGCAGCGGAACACAGACAGCGTGCACGGTGTGCATCTGTGTCACGCACCTGGCATGAAGGGATCCTTGCCCCTCATAGGGGAGCTGAATGTGTGTGTGTGGTTGGCAATAAAGGTACTGCTGAAATAATTCCTAGATGTAAGCCCTCATGTGCATATTTACGCGTAAACTCTGTTGTGTGCGCCTACTGTAACAAAGTGTTTGTTTCTCTTTGAGAAATAACTGTGAGCCACAGTGGACGATGCATTTGCATCAGACTGATGAGGCTGAAGCTTCACGTCCGGTTCTGCAGGTTTGACTTATTCATGTGTTTGAATGGGCTCAGTGGTTCTGCAGCATGAGAGCAGAGCCAGCCTAAGGTATAAGCAAGATAAGCTGCTGCTGCTGATGGGACCCAGGTCAACAAGGGGTTTCCCCGAGAGGGGAAAAAAAAAATCTAGTTTCTCTTTTGTTCAGCTGTTTAGAAATGGCAAATTGGAACGAGTTTGACGTTCCTTTCGATTTAAAACGTGACCTATGTGACATTCACAAAGCGCTGATGAGAGCAGTTAAAATCGTACAGGAGGCTTTGCTGATAGTTTGAGAATTTTATTCGCTGTGTCCGTCCGAAAATTAACTACAGAAATGATTTTGCAACCAGTTTATGTTCCTGACTAAAGTAAACAACTGTTCACCAGGCACAGCAACCTCTAGACTCAATTAAGTTATTGTGAATGAAAAAATTTTTTTTTTAAATCAACGGAGAGCTTAACATTCAGCACATTAACCTGCCGGTTTCTACAGAAAGACGCCTGTGATGAGACGCATCGAAGCAGAAGGTAACGCTGACGCAGCGATTCGCCGGGGGGACTGAAGGAGGAGCAGCGTCCATGCGAGAACTTCCACTGACTACATGACTGACATGTGATGTCCGTTCTGCCCCTCAGACCAGCGGAACCAGCAGGATGTGACATGACGCCTGCTCCTCTCGCACACAGAAAACCAGAAAACCAACCTCCGTCCTCGCCGAGGCCGCGCATAAAATGAGCTCAGCTGAGCTGCTCAGAGGCCGCGTTGCAACATCGCCGACGCGTCTGTGGCTGCCTGGGCGTTCAGCCGCTCGACTTCCCTCTTTTGGACTCGTTACACGCTTCTCCTTCATTTTTAATTTTTTATGGGCCGTGAATGGCACAGACGGCACCGGGAGACGCAACGTGAAAAGGAGGGGGGACAAAATGAAGGATTTCTGGATGGGATTCCATGAACTTTAAACGACTTTTCTGACTTGGAACAATTCGGCAGCAAGTAAAGCGGCTTTCGTTTTGTCCCTCTGGCCTTTTGCAGAATGCTGCTGCAGAATGGTGCAATTTTGCAGAACGAGAAGGCAAACAAAAAAAAAAAAAAGACAAGAGGAAGCTATTGCTGAAAGCTGGTTGTGGTCTATTGATTTTCTTTTCCTTTTTATTATTTCTACTGTATATGCGGAAGGCTGTGACACGGCATCGGCTCTCTTTGCACAACTGAAGCCGTCGGGTAGAGAAGGAAGTGTCGACACCTTCGAGCTCTTTCCGCCTCTTAAGCAAATTGGCTACATAAACAGAAATCAGTAGCGTCTCTTTTGATGTTTGTGCAGCTGAGCAGCACTGTGTGTTGTTTTACCTTTCGTTCCGAAAAAAGGATCTGCTGTTCCGGGCGTCTTCCATTCCCACAGCACAATGCTGCCACCACCGTGTCTGACTGTGGAGATGGTGTGTTTAAAGAGATATTTAGATTAGCTGCCTTTTCACTTGGCAGCTGTACATGCAGGGCTGGCTATTTCTCACCTGTACTGTGTAAAGGTTAGCTCTGCCCACATGAGCCTATCGTGCATCGAGGCTTGAACTGTTGCCCTGTGCCGGTTTGGTGTCAACTGTAGCTTCACTCTGCATGGCAACCACTTCCATTTTTATTACTGTCACATGTCACCAAAGACAAAAGAGAAATCCTACAACTGCTGCAATCTGACAGTGCTCCATTGTTGTTAACATTTCTGCAATCGGGAAGTTTTTCTCCTGTCTTCTTTGGTTTTTCTGTCATTTTCTTCAATAGGGTTTGAAGCAGAGGTAGGAAGACAACCTGCCATGTGCAGCTGAGAGCGCTGCTTTCCCAGAAGCGCATGCCTGCCGTATCCAAAGCAAACATTTCTGTGTTTAAAGTCTCACCGTCTTCAATCTCGCGTCCCTGACACCAAAGCGCAGCTGTGCGCCCGCTGCCGCCGCTCTTGTTATTGTCGCGACCCCCTGCTGCCGTCTCTCCTCTGCGGAATCGGCCCCCGAGTTCCTGGAAGCTCTCGGCGTGTGTTTGTGCAACTCGGCCGCCGTGGAATCGTTCTGCCGTTGCAGGGTTGAGCGACTCGAGTTTGGACAACTAACAGAACGGAGAGGCTCCTCCATACTTTCATTTTTCATGTGGCGCTCGGTTGTCTTTTAGATTACCGCTGAGCGTCAGAAAGAATCAAAAATATTACCACTATGACCATGGATAGAGAGTCTGGTGGACGATTTCTGAGCTTTAATTCAGTCGACTTTAACAACATTAGCCAAATTCGCCTTCCTTTTTCAGCACTATGAGAATTAGGAACAGCATTCAAACATTTTCCTTCTCATTTTACCGTGAGCAGTCAGAATGTATTCAGAAATGTAGCAAATACTGTAAAACAAAACGGTTTTGCTAATTTAAAATGCATTAATTTGAACTACGATTAGCATCCAATATTAGTGATTTCTATCTGTAAAAAGCATTCTTCTTTAGGACTGCTGCCAATCAGTATTCTGTCGGTTATTCTGGCGATTAATTGAGTAATTGGACAAAAAACAAACACACACACAAAAAAAAAAACTGCTGAGGTAACAGCATCACAGCCATGGACTTAAAAAGACACAAACACCAGAAGAAGAAGAAGCAAATACAGTCACTTCTTCAACAGTATTTGTTGTGGAGCCACTGGAGATTATTCTTTGGGGGAAAAAAAATAAAATCAAGAAAATAATGGGCAACCCCGAGTTTCCTGTTATTGAAGCAGTTATACAACTATAATTTTCGCTGTCCACTGCAGGAGAAGCCGTGAGGATCTACAATGACAAGTTGGAGAAAGTTGTGCAACATGAGTTGCAACAATGCTAAAGTTAATTTTAACTGAACTGAAAAGCAGAAATTGCACTCTTGCACCTCTTTGGATTTGTTCTCCATGAACTCTGCAGATCACACATTGCCTGCAGTTGCTCTTTGCGTAAAATAATTTGTTTTACGAGGGTGTGTGCGTGCGTGTGTGAAAACGAGGCGGCTCGAGTTACAAAAAGCGTGCAGCGGCCATCTTCAGCAGTCCGTTTTATGTTCCATGCAAACAAGTCGTATTCCGCCGCTTTGTTTCCACCGAGGATCACGTGTTGCAAACGGGAGCTTTTCGCCTGATCACCTGCTTTAATTGCACATCCCTCGTGTTTGACCATGTTGCACTCCAATGAAGAAATACATATAAATATAGACAATATTTAGGTCTTGGTCTACACATTATGATTATTGTCTAACTAATGTTTTGCCTAATTAGTCTGGCTGTCTGTCTGGGAGTTTTATCCAGAAAAACACAACAATAATGAAGTCCTTTTACGAATCAAACTACTTTTAAGTAGCATATTGGCGCATAAAGTTAATTAAACACTGAACAATGTCGCCTCGGCATCATGTCAATCGGCGCGTTATTTGACGCAGACCGTAGTGCGACAGTCTTCGCTTTCCCAGGTCCACACGTGAACACAAATGCAGACTTTTCTCAAGTCTCCACTTTAGTGGGAGCTTTGATGAGTAAGCGCTTTTAGTCACACCATCTTAACCAGGCCTCCTTTGACTCCCTCATGGTTTCACTTCTGCAGCCTAAACTTCATCCGACGAACTGAAGGTGAGAACAAAAACGCGTTAAGCAACACACCTGGTTCTACTTCTGACAACTTCTGCACACAGTTGCAGGAATAGATTTGCTGTCGACATTCGTCTTTATTCATCTCCGTTTCTGTTTTCCAGGTGCATTCCTAAATTTGGGAATCGGCCCTTTAAATAGAGCCTTGGATTGTTTCTTGGTGACTTCGGTGGCAGAAAACATGCAGTGAGCTCCAACACAGGGCACCAGTCATTTATGATTTATATCAGATTAGCCACTGCTATTAGATATTAATCGGTGGCTTATTTCTAAATTGCACAAGTTTAAATGAAAGTTGAACAAATATCAACTAAAAGAAGAAAAAAAAATCTTAACAACACTGATTTATGGTGCAATTAATATGCACCTAAATGCTACCTTTCATATTTCCACACCACCTTGATGAAAATATAGTTGTTGATGTCAGCCGGGCTTTCAGAGCATCACTCCAAGCTTCAGTTCCCGGGGTGGGAAGGTGTCACCGCCGGAGAGACCGGATCCACACGTGAATACATTTCCAGGGTCTCATCTTTCCACTCGGTGTGAGAAGCACTTAACGCTTCATTTTAGCCTTGATTATTCAAAACACAAGCAGCAAGGATTTAGGGACTTCTCAGATCTCTCACTTAAACCTCATCAAGTGCAGTCAAGCAACCACACACACACACACACACACACACACACACACACACACACACACACACACACCTCTCCACTTGTCATTAGCATGTGTATCAGAGGTACCTGCTTGCATGATGTACCAGCTGCACCGGTTATTCATTATCATCAGCGCAGGTTTCATTTCAGGGGAATATCTAAACGCTGCAGCATGTGAGCGGTAATGAGGAAAACAACCCAAAAACTGAGAATGGACATCCATGTTTGTTCATCGAGCC